TGCTGACCAGGCAGGGCCAGCGTGTTGGTTCTGCACATCCTGTGCAGCCTGCACTTGTGACCTCACCGATCTTGGCCCAGAAGGTATTGGCGTTCTGTTTTCTATGGTAAATCTTTAACCATGAAAGATTCTGAGGCTACCAGCCACTGATAAATGACAAAGCATAAGTTGCAGATATCACCTTCTGCCCCTCAGCACAGTCTAGGCTCTTGACTAGGGTCCTCAGGACTTCAGAGCTTTGGAGGCTTGCAAATTTTTGAATTACATTTTATTTATTTATTTGCACACATGCCCATGTTACAAGGCATAACAAGTAAGTGGAGGTCAGAGGACAATTCGCAGGAGTTGGTTCTTTTCCTCCACCATGTGGGTTCTGGGGATCAAACTGAGGTCCTGAAGCAAGCTGCCCTCTCACCAGCTCCCTATTTTTTTTTTAATTTCTTCTTTTTCTTCATTTTTTTTTCCAAGAAAGGTCTCATCTATCCCAGGTTAGCTCTATACTTGCTATGTAATTAAGGATGACTTCGAACCTCTGACTGTTCTTCCTTTACCCCCTCCATGTGCCCATTTCACTCTATACTGTACCAACAGTCCAGCCTCAGAACATTAAAGGACCCAAATGGTGTGTAATTCTGAGACCAGTGATGTGGATTTATGGGCTGTGCAGGCTCAGCTACCTCCTGAAAAAGCAGGTCTGGGGCCGAGGTGGGAGAGGATCCAATAAGAGCTTCCCTGTGGAGTTCCAGGGCTGAGATGGAGGCCACCATCCCTCACTGTGCACTAGGCACAAAAATAGAGGACTTCTATGCTGTCTTCGGAGTGGAGCTCCCGTGTAAAAGAAACGGGTGGATAGCAGCTAAGACCTGAACTTCCTCAGTGCAGTCCAGCAGAGTCCAGAAACCTGGGACATTCAGTGTTCTAAGGAGCATTCCTAAGGCTGACTGGATTAGTCTGGAAGCTCTTGGATAACAGCAATAGGAAATCCAGTTAATGCTGATCGATGCTCAGTGTTAAAAGATCAGAGGCGGAAGGGATTTTATCAGGCACTGGCTCCCTTGCTCTTCCCTCTGGGTGTTGGCTTTCTCCTAAGGCTGGCTCTTTTCCTACTTGCAGTACAAAATGATTTAATATTAAGCAAATAGTGACTACATCAGTTCCTGGCCTCACCCACTCCTGTTCAGAAAGGAATTTCTCTTCTCTCAACCACAGGAAAATACTCAACTTTGATTTGGACCAACATCCTTCCCACACTCACCCTCAAGGGACCACTGTATATTAGGAAATGTCATCAGGGCATGCCCAAGTGAATGGAACTCTGCCAGTGGCTTTGGGAGGCAAGAGGGTAGCTCTGTCAATCAACACCATTGACCCGAGCAAACTGCATACATAAGGAGGGAGGCAAAATGGATCCTAGAACAGTGACCAAGAGTGTCAACCACACAGGTGGAGACAGCCAAACTCCTAGAAGGGTTCCGTGGACAGGAGTGAGAGCCTGCTAAATAGCAACGTTGTGAGCAGCCAGGCAGAGACCACAAGGGAGTGACATCTTAGCATATGCCATAGTGTGTTGATAACAGAGAATTAGGTTCCCTACCCACCCCATTCCTGGTACTTTGGTATTACCCCATGGAACTTAGATACAATTCTGGACAAAGAAGCACCCTAAAAGATCTAAAATCTAGTCTCTACCACTTTCAGAATGGTGAGAACACAGAGAAGAAATTAAAATGTAGAGAGTGTTGAGTTCTTTCCCCACAGTCTATGATTTAGGCCTCCGCTGTGTCAATTAGCCCTCTGACCTACACAGATACCTTCCGATGAGTTCCGTATTCATAAGCTTAAAATCTTTCTTGTTTTCGAGACTTGAGTGACATGTTTTCAGTGAAGGCTCACCTGGCAGTGGGGCTTCTCCCCTGTTTTTATTCTTTTTCACACATTTTATTTATTTATATTTTATGTATGAGTGCTCTGCATGTATCCCTGCAGGCCAGAAGAGGGCATCAGATCCTATTATAGATGGTGAGCCACCATGTAGTTGCTGGGAACTGAACTCAAGACCTCTGGAAGAACAGCCAGTGCTCTTAACCCCTCAGCCATCTCTCCAGCTCCTTGTTTTTATTTTCCCTTCCTTCCTTCCTTCCTTCCCTTCCTTCCTTCCTTCCTTCCTTCCTTCCTTCCTTCCTTCCTTCCCTTCCTTCCTTCCTTCCCTCCCTCCCTCCCTCCCTCCCTCCTTCCCTCCCTTCCTCCCTCCCTCCTTTCTTTCTTTCTCTTGGTTTTTTGAGACAGGGTTTCTCTGTGTAGTTTTGGTGCCTGTCCTGGATCTCACTCTGTAGACCAGGCTAGCCTCAAACTCACGGAGATCCACCTGGCTCTGCCTCCTGAGTGCTGGGATTAAAGGCATTTACCACCACCGCCTGGCCTTTGTTTTTATTCTTACTTCATGAATTTTTAGAAGACCTAAGACTGTGTCCTGATATATATTTTTTAATTTTAATTTTATTTTTTTTAGACAGGGTCTCATGTAGCCAAAGTTTGCCTCAATATTTGCTATAATAGTAGAGAATGACCTTAATTTTTTTGTTTTTGTTTTTCAAGACAGGGTTTCTCTGTGTAGCTTTGTGCCTTTCCTGTAGACCAGACTGGCCTTGAACTCACAGAGACCTGCCTGGCTCTGCCTCCCGAGTGCTGGGATTAAAGGTGTGCACCACCAGGCCTGGCGGTGGTGGCGCACGCCTTTAATCCCAGCACTCGGGAGGCAGAGCCAGGCGGATCGCTGTGAGTTCGAGGCCAGCCTGGGCTACCAAGTGAGTTCCAGGAAAGGCGCAAAGCTACACAGAGAAACCCTGTCTCGAAACCCCCCCCCCCCCCAAAAAAAAAAAGGTGTGCACCACCAACGTCCAGAATGACCTTAAATTTTTTATCCTTTTGCCTTTACCCCCAGAGTTCTGGGATTACAGGAGTGTACCATGATGGTTAGTTTTATGCAGTGCTGGGGGTCCAGCCTAGTACTTTGTGCATACTTCAGGTACTCCATTAATGTAGCTACATCTTAGCCTCCCTGCTTCTGTTTGCTTATGGTCTTATTTTTTTTTTAAGATTTATTTTTATTTGTGCAGTGTGTGTGTGTCTGTGTGTGTGTGTGTGTGTGTGTGTGTGTGTGTGTGTGTGTGTGTGTGTGTGTGTGTGCAGGTGCACAGAGAGGCCAGAAGAGGGTACTGCATCCCCTCTGGAGCTGGAGTTAACAGGCCGTTGTGAGTTACCAGAGGTGAGTACTAAGAACTGAACTCAGGTCCTCTGGAAGAGCAGGAAGCATTCTTAGCTGCTGAGCCATCTCTCCAACTCCTGATATTAAAAATATTGTGTGCTTCTGATACTAAACATATTGTGGGGCTGGAGAGATGACTCAGCAGTTAAGAATGCTTCCCATTCTTGCAGAGAACTGAAGTTCAGTTCTAAGCACCTATACTGTGCGGCTCACAACTGCCTGGGACTCCAGCTCCAGAGGATCCGACGCCCTCCTCTGGCCTCCATGGACACTGAGCTCATGTATACACTCACCCATGCATATACATACATTAGAAATTAAAGTAAAATCTTAAAAAATATATTGTTTTCAGAGTGTAACATCTGAAAGCTTTTTGAAAAATATCTTCATTTTTTTTAAATAAAAAAGCTACAGCAAAGTGAATTAATGATTCTGAAGACATCTTGCAGATTCTTTCAGTTTAAGAGCCTGTGATGGCTATTCTTGGTTGTCAACTTGACTATATCTGGAGTAACAAAAGCCCACGTGGCTGGGTACACCTGTGAGGAAATTTTTCTTTCTTTCTTTTTTTCTTTTTTTCTTTTGAGACAGAGTTTCTCTGTGTAGTTTTGGAGCCTGTCCTGGAACTCGCTCTATAGACCAGGCTGGCCTATGCCTCCCAAGTGCTGGGATTAAAGGTATGTGCCACCACCACCCGATGAGGAAATTTTTCTTTAAATCATTTGAAGTGGGAAAGACCAACTTTTTTTTTTTTTTTTTTTTTTTTTTATGGTTTTTTGAGACAGGGTTTCTCTGTGTAGCTTTGCGCCTTTCCTGGAACTCACTTTGGAGACCAGGCTGGCCTCGAACTCACAGAGATCCGCCTGGCTCTGCCTCCCGAGTGCTGGGATTAAAGGCGTGTGCCGCCAGCCACCACCACCCGGCCGGGAAAGACCAACTTTTAATTCAGATATTTTGGGATGAGAAGATACACCTTAATCCAGATCTTTTGAGGAGGGAAGACCTACCTTTAATCTGGGCCACACCTTCTAATGGTAGCTTATATAAAGGACATGGAAGAAGGAAGCTTGCTCCCTTTTGACTGCTCACCCTTACACTCTCTGGTAAGTCCATTCCTTCACTGGCATTAGAGTCTGCTTCTTTGGAATCAGGTGTGTACTAAAGATTAGCTGAGACATCCAGCATCATGGATTGAGCAACTTTTAGATTCTTGGACTTTCTGTTGGTAGACAACTGTTGTTGGACTAGCTGGACCTCAGCCTATCAGCAACTCTAATCAGTCTTTGTGTGTGTGTGTGTGTGTGTGTGTGTGTGTGTGTGTGTGTGTGTGTGTGAGCAAGGGTGCCCACAGAGACCAGAAGAAGGTGTCAGAGCTGCTGGAGCTGGGGTCAAAGGCAGTGTGAACCACCCTATAATGTTGACTTGCTCAACGTTTTCACAGTGAGACAGAACGATAATTACTAAGTGAACACACAATACAGTCAGCCGGACGACCCAACAGAGAAAGGAGCTTGCTATGCAGACCTGATGATCTGAGTTTGATTCCTAGAACCTGGAACCTGAAACCCACACAAAGATGGAAGGATAGAACTAACTCTACTCACTCAGTGTGGCCATGTGCACAAACCCATCACATGCACAAGAGTTCTCTGGAAGAATCACTGAGCCATCTCTCTACCTCCTAAATGCTATCTTAAAAAATATCATCTAATTATTACCACACTTTAATGACATGTTGAGGCCATTACTGATATTTATTTTACCCCCACAAGAGTAGATTTGCTGTGATACGTGTGCTGGAAACTTGGTATACCCCGTCTTGAGGTGGTGAGATACTGATGGATCACTAGGGCTCTGGCATTGGAAAGGACTAATGCCTCTCTCCAGGACGAATGAAGTGAAGCTCATCCATGTGCTAATTCAAGAGCAGTTAATCCCTTTCCCTTTATCTTCCATGTTGTAATGCAGTCAGGGCCATCCACCAGGAAGTAGGAATTGGGCTAGACACATGAGACAAATGAACCTGCTTACTTTATAAATTATGCAGCCTCAGGTATTTTGTTACAGCAACACATAATGGGTTATTCTAAGGCTCATGTATTCTAATCATCTTTCTGGAACACAATAACACTTAATACCTAAGGTCGACGTAAGTTAGTAAGAGTGAACATTACAGATTTATCCCCATTTTCATCCTTTTTTTTCAAAATGAGTTTGAACAAATCACCATCCTTTTCATAAGCTAGAAAGTATCCTTTATACAGTGAAGATTCAAATTGCATCTTATCATGTCCTGGAACACCTCTCTGAAAGAATATGAGATCACTTTCTGTAGCATTGATATTTTCAGGTGGATCCATTTCCTGTGGAGAAAACACACATTACATAATTTTGTTGTTGTTTGTTTTTCGAGATGGTTTCTATGTGTAACAGTCCTGGCTGTCCTGGAACTCATTTTGTGGATTAGGCTGGCCTCGAACTTACAAAGACCCGCCTGCCTCTGCCTCCCAAGGGCTAGGATTAAAGGCACTGCCACCCAGCCTGATATTACATAATTTTTAAGGATATAAATAACTGGGGGCTGGAGTGATGGCTTGCTGCTCTGGTCTCTCTGGAATTTGGCTCCTAGCACCCACATGGGGCAGCTCACAAATGCCCGAAACTCCAGCACCAGGGGATATGACTCCCCCTTCCGGCCTCTGAAGAAACATGCGCGTACACAGACATGCATACAGAAAATGAACTATTTTTTTAAAGTATTTTAACAATTTGAACGTGTGCAATTTATTTAGAAGTGTATTACTAAACAGACTTAAAGCTTTACTTTTTCAAGAGTTAAGAAAAAACCCTCTGAATATAGGCGCAGTAGGGGTACTGACCACCTCTCTTCAGTTCCTAACATATTTTCCTGTCCATTCTGACCTTTTCCGCCATGGCAAGCTCATCAATACAGAGACCTCCTGGTTCCCTTATGCCCAGAGACCTTCCTTCTGTTCTCTTCCACCAAGCGGAGTCCAGGTCTGCTAATGATGAAGTAAAGGTCTAGCAAAGACAACCATCTCTTTGGGCTAATTTCAGTTCTTGTCTTCTTCAGTCATCCTTAGCTAAAAACACTCATGGCATCCTCCCTTAAGCTCAGGAACTCTAGTTTCTGAATCAGCCATGAGAGGTGCAGGAGGTGTCAGAATCTTAGCTCCTTCTTCCTGGGATTCCGAAACTAAACTGTAGTGTGATGAGACCAGCAGTTGTTCCACAGCTGAATCCTGGGTTCCCCAATAGCCCAGCTGCATGGACTCAGCCCCTTGGCCCCCGGCTCTGCTTTTCTGTCAAGCATGACAGTGCACAGTACTCTCTCCCTTCTGTCCTGAGTTTAGTACCAAGTACTGATTCCCGTATCTTTTGTCCAGACACCAAGGTCCTGCTCCGGATTAGATGTCTGGAAACTGCAGTCCTTCCCACTGGGCCTGTAACTGCTAGGAATGCCTGGCTTTTCCTATTGCATCTACTTTTCAGGGTGTATTAGAAAATATGGGCACTGTCCGAGCTTCTTCTATGTTAATCATAGAACTGATATTTTGGAGTTAATTTTGGCCCAATGATAGCAAAGATCCCCATGATCCTGTGGACTGATCGAGAAATCTCTAGAATTAAAAATGCATTCTGCTCTCTTGAAATGCATAGAAGACTCTGAAGGTGTGCTTTCAACTGAACTAGATAAATTGACAGCCATAGTTCTTTGCCATTTACCAAACTAGTATGGGCTGTAAATTGATGGTAATATAAATTGCTCTCTCATTAGCATCTGCTTCTGAAGCTGTGCCTGGTAAACCACAACTCAGGGAGAGACTTAAGCTGCAGGAGATGCTCCAGGGCCAAGCTGAAGCCTAGTCTAAATGAGAAGTAATCCTCGATCACAGAGCTCTAGTGATATGATGGGGAAATGAAGCTGGGTCTTACCCGAACCTAGTCTATGGCAGCGATGGGTAAGATCTGTAAGACCATCTATAATGAGATCTGATGTCCTTTTCTGGTGTGCAGGCAAAACATGCAGACAGAACACTGTGTATATAATAAATAAATAAATCTTTAAAAGAAAAACCCATTCAGCTGTCTCTCCCTCTCTGACAGGCTCAGAGACAGAGTTAGCCAACCGAGTCGAAGGGCTTGGCGGCTCCCTGTACCACGCATTGCAGTGGTTGTCTCTGCTCTTTGGGCTTTACACACAAGGTTGGTCTGATGATATCTGTATTTTAATTTTGTGCATTAATATGACTAAAACCAAAATGAAGTTGAATCTTACCTTAAAGGAAATGATTTTGTCCTTACAGGAGAGGGTAAACATTTTTGTATCCTTCACAGAGAGGGTTACAGGCAGTCCTCTTACTTTATCATCTTTATACATAAATATTATCAGTCTGGTCTGGGGCTCATTAGCTGAAATAAATATTAATAAGTGAAGCCATTAATTAGAGTAGTTTTCCCCCTAAAATAGGCATCTATAGAAATTTAACAAAAGGATAGATCCACCTTAATAGATCAGTCACAACCTTGAACTCAGGTTTGGCCAAATGGCCAACAGACATGAGGCCCAGCTAGCCAGACACCCCTTAAAACATCCTTACAGGGTGTTATAAACCATTGGGTAGGCAACATGAGTGTGTTAAAAATATTCTGAGTGTTAAAGATATTCTGATATATTTCTTGATTTCTGATATTTTTCTTGAGTGTGTTAAAGATATCATGAACCCTGCCGGGTGTGGATGCACACACCTTGAATCCCAGCATTATGGAGGCAGAAGCAGGCAGATCTCTGTGAGTTTTAGGCCAGCCTGGTCTACAAAGTGAGTTCCAGGATGGCCAGGGCCACATAATGAGATCCTGTCTCAAATAAAAAATAAAATCAACCCCCAAACAGAACGTTATTCTAAGTCTGAAGACTATGTTTAATTGTTGAATGTTCAACAGAGTATTCAAAACATTTGTTAAGGCAAAAATCTTAGAATAGGATTTTTTCAGGAATATACATTCAACTAGGCCCCAAACTGTGATATTTGGAATGTCTATCTTGAGAGGCAGGTAAGCGTGCTCATCTTGAGAGGCACTCTCATGTTCTGGTGGAAGACAGGTTCATTTGAAATGCTTGTGTTTTACTTTTCCTTTGCATTTTGCTGGTGTCAGCAGTATATTCAGCTATAACCAATGGGGATAAAGGATCCAACATGAAAAGGTTCTTCTATGGAGAATACAATTGAAATAGGGGAACTGGTGATACACACATAGACTCAGAGTGACATGGACTCTACCAGTGTCTACTGGATCCAATTCCTCACTCCAACTAAAAAGGGGTACTCTCTAAAGTGAAATTATAGTTACTACTGTGACCTTCCATCTAAGGATGGGATCTGACATTTGAAAATGTAGGCAGTAAAATGGAGTGGGAAGAAGTGGGTGGTCATCTCTGTGTTTTTAAATAAGTAGAGAAAAGTACCCCCTATGTCAGCATCAGTCATATCCTCAAACACATGTTGTTGCTTGTTTCTGTCAACGAAGAGAACTTGGTCATCCATATTTCGTATTACTGCAGTTGTAGAGCAATCCCTGCCAAAGTGGTCGGATTCCAGGTCTCCTATAATACACGTTGACTCATTAAAGGTAAGTTGTTTGGTTAGATCAACAAATAGACCTATTAATATTGTTTCCAGAGTTAGCACAACCCTCTGTTCTAGAAGCAGCAATGAGCCTGTTGTGTTTCAGTTTGCTTCTAAGAGCAAGCACACCATGTTTCCTGTTTGCCCTCGGAACTACTGTCTCTCCAAAGGTTCGAATATTCTACTTTCTGGTCAGTTTCCTTTGTTTTCTTACACTTTTATTCATGCTGTCCATGTTCTTAGACATCATGAGGCCCTCTAGTCTCCTGCCTCCGGGACCTCTTCCCTAGCTGATCTTCTGCCTGCCCTTCCCTTCATAACTGCACCTTGTGGTGGCTCATTACAGCATGTTGTTAGTACCTTAAATCCTTAACCAGCTGTGAGGTGGTGGTGCCCATCTTTAATCCCAACACTTGGGAGGTAAAGGCAGGCAGATCTCTATGAGTTTTAGCCTGGTCTACAGAGCGAGTTCCAGGACAGCCAGGGCTACACAGAGAAACCCTGTATTGAAAAACCAAAACCAAATCAGCAACAAAACCCCCCAAAAAACAAACCAAAAAACCCAAAAAATCTTCAACCTATTTACACAAATGTGAGAACTGTGCCAGCATAGGCTCATCAATTGTCAGTACTTCGTTTCCCAGTTGAGCTCTGTCTCTCACAGCTGTGGTTTCAAGTCTTCTTGCTCTCAGGAACTTTACCCTACCATCTCTATTTTCCCTTTCAGGGAATCCCCCCCTCATTGTAGAATATTCCTTTACACCATGTGAAGATGTGTCTCTGTGATTGGCTTAATAAAAAGCTAAACGGCCAACAGCTAGGCAGGAGGTAAAGCAGGAGAAAGCTCGGGGAAGAAGAAAAGTGGAGTTGTCAGCCGAACACAGACGGAACAGACATGCAGGAGGAGAGGTCAAAGTCGTGAGTCGTGTGGCAACATGTAGATGAACAGAAGAATAGACATGGGTTAATTTAAGTTATAAGAACTAGTTAGAGCCGGGCAGTGGTGGCACATGCCTTTAATCCCAGCACTCGGGAGGCAGAGGCAGGCAGATCTCTGTGAGTTCGAGGCCAGCCTGGTCTATAAATCGAGTTCCAGGACAGGCTCCAAAGCTACACAGAGAAACCCTGTCTCGAAAAACTAAAAAAAAAAAACTAGTTAGGAACAAGCCTAAGCTAAGGCAGAGCTTTCATAATTAATAAGTCTTCATTTAGATTTTTTTGTGAGTTGACGTTCCAAGGAAAAATCCATCTACACTCTCTAAATATATATATATATATACACACACACACATATATATGCACACACACATATATATTAATTAATTTATTTTTTTCAAGACAGGGTTTTTCTGTATAGTCTTGGCTATCCTGGAACTTGCTCTATAGACTGGGCTGGCTTCAAATTCAGAGATCTGCTTGTCTCTGCCTCCCAAAGTGCTGGGATTAAAGGCGTGTGCCACCACACCAGGCTAGGGAATTATCTCTTGCTAGTACATTTATAAACTCAATGGAGGGACCATTTATTTTCCTCCACCAAAGGAAAATACAGAAAAAGTGTCTCCTAGTGTCTAAGGCAGACCCCACTTGTGCTGTGTGCAATGGATTGAAGCTGTGATTTGCCAATTATCCCCTTCCTTCTGCCAACCTGGCATTTCTACTTCCTAGATTTTTTTTTTCAAAACAAGGTTTCTCTGTGTAGCTTTGGTGCCTGTCCTGGTTCTTACTCTGTAGACCAGGCTGGCCTCGAACTAACAGAGATTCGCCTGGCTCTGCCTCCCGAGTGCTGAGATTAAAGGCGTTGCCACCACCACCTGGCTTACTTCCTAGATTTTATCCTGAACAAATAGACAGACACATGTGCTAACACTGTTGTACAAGAATGCTGCTGCACACTCATGACCCTAGCACTTGGGAGGCTAAGGCAGGAGGATCACAAGTTTGAGGCCAGTCCAGGAGATATAGTGACTTCTGGGCTAGTCTAGGCTATATAATAACAACCAGTGTCAAATCAAGCCAGACAACAGAAATCTCCAAGAATCCTGCAAGGGTGCTGTAAACAGTAGTAAGACGGAAACAACCTAAGCCCACTGGCCAAGATATTCAAGTTTTATTATGCTCTCACCATAGGATAATCTGTATTTAATATAACTGTAATTATTAACTACCAAGGAAACATCTCTATGGACAGTTTCTCCCAGCAGACAATGGATGTGTCTCAAGTACCTTCTAATTTTCAAAGAGAGAAAAATAAATTCATACTTTACCATCATCTTCGGCTAAAGGGAGAAAAAGAGAAACATATATGTTAAATTATATAGTTCAGTTTAACATGTCCCCTCCCCACCCTTTTGCAACTCTATTCTTCCTTCTACACCTCTCTCTCTCTCTCTCTCTCTCTCTCTCTCTCTCTCTCTCTCTCTCTCTCTCTCTCTCTTTCTCCCTCCTTGGGGTCTTACTAAATAGTTCTGGCTGCCCTGGAACTAACTCACTTTGTAAACCAGGCTGTCGTCCAACCTACAGAGATCCACCTGCCTCTTCCTTCTAAGTGCTGGGATTAAAGGCATGTGCCACCATGCCTGGCCCCACTCCTCACTCCCTAACCTTTGTGGAATGGTGATGGGCTCTGTTGGCCTCCATCAGGAATATCAGATGACAAACATTCAGGAGCCCATAACAGGGCTTGTGTGTGCTCAAGTATGTACGGTATAAGACTTAAATCTAGGGCTGGAGAGATGGCTCAGTGGTTAAAAACACTGTCTGCTCTTCCAAAGGACCCAGGTTCAATTCCCAGCACCCACATGGCAGCTTACAACCATCTATAACATTAGTTCCAGGGGGATCCAACACTATTTTATGGCCTCAAATGGCACTGCATGCACATAGCACACAGACATACATGCAGGAGAAACACCTGTGCACATAAAATAAAACAGTAATAATTAAAATATTTAAACCCAGGATTTGTAAATAAAAAGTTTTAATAAAGTGGCAAACTTTCCTTTAAATTTATTGTTTAAATGGAAAGACATCTAAGGATTTTCCAGGAAGCTTCCAAAGAAAGCTGAACTTTCAGTGAAGTCAGATCACCAATGGAAACTTAGAATCTTTTTTTTTTTTTTTTTTTTTTGGTTAAATATATTCACATGAATGGTGTACACAGAACTCTAGTCCTAGAATATCATGAATTGTATCTTTTTTGGGGAGACAGTGTTTCCTCAATGGTACATTTCCATGATAGGCATCAGACACCATCTTGGTGAGCTACTGCTGGAGTGCCACCCCATGACATAGGGCAGGGCACTGGGACCGTGGGAATCTTCTGGTTATTTTTAGAGAGGGAGGTCATTAACATTACAGTAGAATCTGATGACCAACAGAAGTCCAAGCTCACTTCATGATTTCCTTTCTAGTTGAATACCTGTATCTGAGCCCTGCATTTGTCTTATTGATTTAGACTTACGCATAAAGTAAAGTGTGTTGTCAATAAATATCATTTCCTTGAAGTTGATGCAAAAGCCTTCTGGCACGGCAGCCATTGTTATTCCTAATGAAAGCAAAGAGTCACCCATGAGGAGGCAAAGACTGCTCTTTGTACACATAAAATGAACAAACCTCTTCCTTTTAAAAAAGATTTGTTTTATGTATTTGGTGCTTTCCTTGCATGTATGTCTGTGCATCACACGTATGCAGTTCTCATGGAGGCCAGAAGTCACTGGATGTCCTCGAACTGGAGTTACAGATGATTGTGAGGCACCATGTAGGTGTTGGAAACAGAACCCCAGTCCTCTAGAAGAGTAGCCAGTGCTCTTAACTGCTGAGCCACCTCTCCAGTTCCTTAATGTTACCTTCTAAACCTCCACATTTGAAAGTCATTTATCATTCAGTATGCTGATGAATACTGTGATGTTTAATAAATGTAAAGCATCAGTCTAGCACACTCATGTTTATGGTCTTTTATAAACTGTTAGCTGTCTGGAATCAGGAGAGTGCTGTTTCATAATATTTTAAAGGGTGAATATATGGCTCATTATTGAATGATTAGTTTCAAGTTCACTGAGGATGCTAGAAATACATCCTTAACTGGGGATGAACTTAACCTGAACTTAAACCCAGTAGCTTCCTGTAGATGAGATGCTGAAGGTTCATGACCTCACTGTTACAGTGGTGAAAGAGAGGAGGCAGAAGAAAGCGGTATTTGGGGCAGTGTGGGAAAAGGCTCTGACATTTGTGGGTTCCTTCTGAAGGCAGCAGCAGCTTTTGATCTGAAGTGTTTGTGTATGAGTAATACATAAATATGATGTTTCTGCAAAAAAAACAAAACCCACACCAACCCAAAACCTCATTGTATTTGCTTTTTCCCTTTTCTTCACCCTCCTCTACATTTACATGCGTATAGCCTTCCAGAATTTTGTCATGGAATAAGGGTTTGTCATGGAGTTCTAAGTATGAGAAATCTGTGACTTTGGGTAGAAAAAAAATACATATTTATTCCCATTTATTTCTAAGCTAAAATGTAGTACCCCTCCTGGTGTTATGTAGGGAACAAACCAGTGTCCTGACCCTGCTACTAATAGAAATGCTTGCTTATTATCAGCTACTGTTGCTACCAGGAGTCTCGAAATATGTCTTCAGCTCTTTATCATTTTGAAATTACCCTAACAGATCTTGTAGCTTAATGTATTAATAAGGAACACAAAAGCACTCTATAAAATTGATAGGTTGTTTTCGACAGCACTTGTGAGGTTGAGTCAGAAGGATCTGGAGTTCAAGACTGTGCAGTAAGATTGCTCCCTAAGGCCCTGTCTCAACAACCGCCTCCTCAGCTTTTAATAACTATTCTAACTTCATACGTTTCCTGCATGTACATTAATGTGAAAGTAACGGGCTGGATGAAAGCAGCATCCTCGGGGTCTCTCTGCTCCCTCCCATGGTCACTGGCAGGTTCTCTTGACCCCTTCCTCATCTAAGGTAGGAAAGAGACTTCTCTGCAGCTCACTGTCTCCTGAAGGCGGGTTCACCGAAGAGGAACACGATTACCTTCAGTCGTTTAGGAGTTTTTTTTGTTTTTTGGGTTTTTTTCTCTTTTGAGACGGGGTCCTGTTGAAATCATAATCCTGACTCAGGGGCCATGCTCTCCCAACAGTTATTCAACACTCTTTAAAGCCACCTGCAAACCTTACTTCCACTTCCTCTCTGAGGAACGTATCCAAACTTCACCTCTCTGGCTTCGTATATTTTCCTGTTTCGTGTAACTCAGGTCCTTGTGCGAGTTAACGATCTCTTGTAGCCTTTGCTCCTGATAATCTATTGACTGTAGTCTTGTTTTAGCAGACTCAAATATGGCACCTTCAGGGGAAAACTTCAAACTTCCCCTACACCACAGGAATGTTCTAGAGAGCAGCTGGCATCTTGTGCATTGAGGGCTGTTAATGGATGGAGCTCCCAGGACTGTGACTGAGTCACAGCTGTTAATTGTTTTTATGGTTTGTAGCCACCAAGACTAGTGTTGAGACTTGGTCTCTATGTGTCAGTGCAGAAGGTGAAGCTTTGTGGAGGTGTTTGGAATTACATAACATTAAAGTGGAGCCCACAGGAAGGAAGGGATTAGTGCTTTTTCTCATGAGAGGGCACTTTTAAGATTTATTCTCTCTCTCTCTCTCTCTCTCTCTCTCTCTCTCTCTCTCTCTCTCTCTCTCTCTGTGTGTGTGTGTCTTTGGATACCCTGGAGCTCTAGTTACAAATGGTCACAGACCATCCGTATTTATTACTTTTAAGTCTCTCTCTGTCTTTCTGTCTCCCTCCCTCTCCACTGCTGCCCCCCAACCCCCTTCTAAATTATCTAGCTTTAGGTATTCTGTTATAGCTATTGAAAACAGTAGTATTTAGGGGAGTATTTATAAATCTGTGCTCTTAAGAACTCACTGTTTTTAGCATAATCTGAGACCAAGTACTTACAGTAGAAGGAAATTAAAACTCAGTTGAAAAACTTAATTTTAATGAAGCTAACCTAAAGTATTTATTACATGGTAGATGTTTTAACAGTTTGACCTAGGTTTAGTTCCTTATATCCAAATGTAAATAGTTATTAAATATATTTTATATTCCAGTTAATAAATGAGTAAAGGAACTGAACATGCAGTTTTCAAAAGAAGTACAAACGGCTGATAAATGCATGAAAAAAAGGGTCACACCTTTAGCTCCCAGAGAAATTAAAAATACATTGAGGAGCTGGAGAGATGGTTCATTGGTTGAGAACTTGTACTGCTCTTGCAGAGGATCTGAGTTCAGTTCCCAGCACCTACATCAGGCTGCTCACAATTGCCTATAATCACCAGCTCCAGGTGATCTGATGTCTCTGATCTCCATGGAAACTTATACTCACATGCACATACCCCTCCACAGAAGCACAAGCACACACATAATTTAGAACAATAAAAAATAAGTCTTATAAAAGTTACATTGAGTTTCCATTTCACCCCAGTTAGAATATCTATCATCAGGAAAACACAAAAACAAAAACAAAACAAAAAAAAGAAATCCCTAACAAGCTGGCAAGGATGTAGAGAAAAAAGAATCCTTCTACATTCCTGATAGAAATGTAGCTTAGTTTAACCTCTGTGGATATCAAAATGGAAGTCTCTCAAAAAACAAAAAAGAGAATTATCATATTATACTGGTAAATCATTCCTAGGAATATACCCAAATAAGTCAAAGCCACACACACAGTGGGGATACCTGCACATCTGTGTTACTCAGGGCACTGTTCACCAGAGCCAAGTTATAGGATCAGTTGGTGTCCACCAGCAGATGAATGAATGAAATAATACAACAGGGTATTAGTCAGCCATAAAGGATGAATTACATTTCGTGGTGGAAAATGCTTGGAACTGGAAGTCACCATCTTAAATGAAATAAGCCAGACTCAGAATGACAAGTATAAGATATTTTCTCTCAGATGCAGAATCTAGATTTAAAAACTATGAAAAGTAGAAGGGAGATGATTTGAAGGAGGAAGGGGACCAGAGGAGTAAAGAGTGGGACTCTATTTTGATTCATTACTAGTGAATAAATGGCTTATGTTGTCTTTTCTAATATTATACAATGTATATATCTTTCTTTCTTTTTTTTGTTTTTGTTTTTTGTTTTTTAAGACAGGGTTTCTCTGTATAGTCCTGGCTGTCCTGAAACTTGCTCTGTAGACCAGGCTGGCCTCGATCTCACAGAGATCTGTCTGCCTCTGCCTCTTGAGTACTGGAATTTAAGGCGTACACCACCACTGCCCAGCCCATAGTTTTCAAAAGTAATTTACCTGGAATACAGCAAACACTATGGTCAAAAATTGTGTTTTTAAATTACTAGTATTTACTATAGTGAGTATTTAATTAGTCATTGATTGAACGACCCTAGAGAAGGACTTAGTCAGTTATCCCAGAAATACTACTCCTATGGCTGGAGAGACAGTTCAGTGGTTAAGAGCACTGGCTGCTCTTCGAGAGGACCCAGGTCCATTCTCAGCACCCACACGGTGGCTCACAATCATCAATAACTCCAGTTCCAGGGGATCCGATGCCCTCTCCTGGCCTCCACAGACAGCAGTGGTACATGCAGGCAAAACATCCATATACATAAAATAAATAAATAATTTATTAATTTACCACTCCTAAATGGGTCTGGTGGTACATGTCTGTATTTCCAATATCGAGAAGGGGTCTGGTGGTACATGTCTGTATTCCCAATATTGAGAAGCCAAAGCTGTAGGATAATGAATTAGAGAGAGGCCTCCCTGGGCTACATAGTGGGACCCTGCCTCAAAAAAACAGAGGTTAGGCATGTGGCCCAGTGTTTGAGAGCTTGGCTGGCACACGCAAGGCTCCTTCCTTCAAAAATTACAATAATAATATCAAACAAAACAACCACTCTTCCCCATAATTCTTGAACTTGTTTACCATTTAATCACTAAACATCTGATATGAGTCAGCTGGGGTTAGAAGCTGAATGACACTTAGCTCCCATCTACCAGTGACTCAGATGCCGGTGGGCGAGACAAGGTATAATGTATGCTGTAGGAGCTGGAATTGCAAGAAACCTCGTGGTGGTGTTGGAGAAGGTTTCCCAGTGGTGTTAGTTCAGTAAGGACAGAGGAGCAGCCTTGTCAAGGGCCAAGGAGCAGGGAGGCTGGGAGAACAAGGCTTGCTTGAGTTTTTCATCATTTTACCATACAAAGCATAAATGTAGTCACAGCTTTCCGAAAGGATGTGTTTCTGAAGATCCCACATCCAAGATTATTTAGTCCTTGGTAATAAATGTAACAGTACGGAGGCACCATTCTTGGGGTGCACATATTGACAGCCATCAACGTGGATGCATGCCTTCTTTCCACCCACCTTCAGCATGATTAACAATGCTTTGTAGAGTCCTTTCCCCTCACACCTTATCATGGTGGTACTTTGGCCCTCTTAATGCTGTATTCTTGCATCTTACTTGTACTTATATACTTAGAGATTGTTCATATCACAAATAGTAACAATGCCCCTTAATACCTTGATAACATTGTTATCAGATATTGAAACCTGGGTGTGTTGGTGTACACCAGTCATCACACTTAGTAGGAAAAGGCCTGGAGTTCAAGATAGAGATAGGAAGTTCAAGATTATCTTCATCTACACAGTGAATTAGAGTCCATTCTGGGTTTTGTGAGACCCTGTCTCAAAAAGGCAAAAGGACAAGAAAATAACTATGATGAAAAATAGTATTAAATGGCTGGTGAGATGGTTCTGGCCACTTGCCACACATGTCTGGAGATCTGAGTTCGATTCCCAGAACTCACATAAAGGTGGAGAGAACTGACTCCACAAAAAGTGTCCTTTAACTCCCACACACCTGTCTCATGCACATGCACACATTGTAATAAAATGTATACTAGCATTATAATCCAGTCTGACATAGGCCTGTAACCCCAATTACAAGGGTGGTAGAGACAGGAGGCCTGCTTGGGTAACTCAGAATGAGTTCAAGGTCATCTTAGGTAATTTAGCTCCTGTCTCCCCTCCCCCACAAATGTAAAAAAAAAGGGAGGGGGAAGGTTGGAACTAGGGCTCAGTGGGAGAGCTGAAATCTGGAAGGAACAGCTTAATTTATGCCATAGTGGTGGAGGCAGATAATCCAACCAGGGTAAGGTCTTCTTCCACTTGGCAATAGTACAGAGTTTACCAACCCCCCGGCCTAGCAGCTCTGAAATTACGCCAATCTAAACCAAGTATTTTATTTATTTATTTGTTTGTTTGTTTGTTTATTTAGTTAGTTAGTTTTTTTAAGGCAGGGTTTCACTATGTAGTCCTGGCTGTCCTAGAATTCTCTTTGTAGACTAGGCTGGCCTCAAACTTGCAGAGATCCGCCTGCCTCTGCTTCCTGAGTGCCAGGATTAAAGGCATGCACCACCACCTCCCAGCTAGACCAAGTATTTAATTTGAAAATATTCATATTATTTCCAATTACTTATAAAGTTAAACCATTATTTTCCTGTTACATTATTTCAATTTTGCCTTAATTTAATTTAGAGGAACTTGCAGTGTAGTTCCTTTGACACAAACCAGGTAATAAGTCTTGTTTCCTCAGGCTGAAAAGTTTGATCTCCTTGGGTAGGAGAAAGACAGGTTCAACCTAAGTTTTTCAAAAGTCACTTGGGTCATAGTGTAGCCAATACATTCTATTTTGGGGGACAGACTTTAGAACTCCCCTCTAAAACTCAGTGAAAGAAAGAAAACAAGGGGAACCTGAAAACAGATCACTCAAAGTGTAAGACTCTCACTCTCCTTTTTTTCTAATTTGTTTTGTTTCATGTATTTAGTCTGAAGTTTTCACTTACTTTGTCCCCACTTCAGTTAGTTCTCAGTGCATTGTGACTGCAAATGTAATCTCCTCTTCACTCCTCTCCCCATGTTTCTCTGACTCCTTCTCACCCATGTTTCTTGGCTTCCTCAATTCTAATCTGTCTCATGCACATGCACAATTGTAATAATTGACAGAATCTATGACAGACAGTTCCCAGTGGCCAAGAGTGCCTTAACATTTATCTAATAGTTTATCTGATAGTCTCTTGCATGTGTATGTGTGTGTGTTTGTGCATGCACATGCGTGTGTGTGTGTGTGTGTGTGTGTGTGTGTGTGTGTGTGTGTGTGTGTGTGTGTGTGTATCAGAGGACAATTATGGGTATTATTCATTAAGTACCATCCACCCTTTTAAAAAATAAAGAAACAGTATTTATTTGTGCGTGGGTCTACATGTCTAAGGTCAGAGGACAACTTGCAGAAGTCATTTCTGGGGCAAGGGTTGGTGGCAGGCACCCTTACCCTCTGAGTTAATTTGCTGGCCACACCTTTGTTTGGGACAGTACCTCTCAGTGTCTTGGCACTTGCCTGCTGGCTCAACTGGATGGTCAGCAAGCCCCATGATGGGTCCAACTGTCCCTGTCACCTTAGTGCTGGGTGAGCAGCTCACTGCACCACTCAGTTTCGTCTGCTTTTTAAACTTGCATTCTGGAGATTGAACACAGGTCCTGGAGTACTTCTCCAACCTTGGCATCTCTCCAGCCTTCACCTAATATTCTCATAAAGAGCCTCCTAGGAGCATATAGCAAACATTGGGTCTTTAAAACAAAAAAAGTTGTATAAACCTTTGAAAATTAGCCCACAGAGAGTGAATGGCTAAATATCATGATGAAAATTAGGTCACATGGGTTCCAATTTTGTCTGGGACAAGTTACTTAATTTTGGGGGGGAGGGTCTCAGTTTCCTTATTTGGAAAACAAGGAAGCTGGTGGTCAAGCTTTAAGGTCTTTTCCAGCCCCAGCATTCTGCAATTCTAGGCTGTAGTTAAAGCTGCCACGAAAGACCATTTATTTATATGGGACAAATGTCCCAGCAGCCGCTTCCTCCTGTGGTGGTTCTCAACGTGTGGGGCTCAACACTGTCACAGGGGTCTCCTAAGACCATCAGAAAACACAGATCTTTACATTATGATTCATAACAGAAACAGAATTACAGTTATGAAGTAGCAACAAAAATAATTTTATGGCTGGGGTCACCACAACATGAGGAACTGTATTAAAGAGTCACAGCATTAGGAAGGCTGAGAACCACTGGAAGGCAATACACAGCTATAGAATCTTATTCAGTCAGAATTTCTAAATTGCTAGGAGTTTAAAAATGTAGTATTGTGGGCTGGAGAGATGATTCAGAGGTTAAGAGCACTGACTGCACTTCCAGAGGTCCTGAGTTCAATTCCCAGCAACCACATGGTGGCTCACAACCATCTGTAATGAGATCTGGCACCCTCTTCTGTATACATAATAAATAAATAAATTTAAAAAAAATAAAAATAAAAATGTAGTATTGTATTAAAAGTAAAATACCTTGAACTTGAAGAGCAACTATGATCCCACTTGCCCTCTCTGTGGAACTCCAGTTCTGTGGACTAGGTATGGGCAGAACAGAGGGCCCTGCTACATGATTAAATCTCTACAATCAGGTGGGAAGTCGTCTTGACAGCAGCAAGATCAACACTCAACATTTTGATTCTTCTTAAAAATACCTTTATTGTAGCCAGGTATAGCAGTGCACACCTTTAATCTCAGCACTCGGGAGACAGAAGCAGGTGGATCTCTGTGAGTTCAAGTCCATCCTAGTCTACATAGTTTAAGGGCAGCCAGTGCTACATAATGAAGCCCTGTCTCAAACAAATAAACAAACAAAAAGAAACCAAACCAAACCAAACCAAACCCCAAACGCCTGTGTTTAGTTTGTGTGCATGAGTGTACGACGGCATATGTGTGGAGGTCAGGGACAACTTTGTGGAGTCGAGTCTCTCCTTCCATTTTCACATGGTCCCCTGGATCAAGCTCAGTCAGCAGGCTTTGAGGCAGCTCTAGTACCTGTTGAGTCACCTCACCGGCCAGGTGACATTTCAGTTCAGTAAGTCAGTTAGCCCTTGACAGACACACAAACGTGTGTACGTGGGATGTGGAAGCAATGGGGGCAGAACACAACAGGAAATTAGATCATTAATGACAGGTATATTTAATCAACTGTTAAATATAGACTTGACAAAAGAGGTCAAATGAACCTGACATACCTGAATGTGTGAAAGGAGAGTCAGTGTTAATTTTGAAGACGGCGAGGAGGATGGCACTGGGGAAGGGTACTTGTGTGATGGGAAACAGTGGTGTGGTGGGGTGGCAGGTGGAGCAGTTCTCTCCTGCAGTGAACGGAAGAATATGGAGGGGTTTGAGAGTCCTATGGAAGAGTCAGACCCTGGTTAACAGCCCTGGGAAAGCGCGGCAGGTGAGAGGTAAGGTATTCTGCAGGAGCGTGTCAGAGAATTTGGTCAGCTAAAAATAGGCAAAAAGTAAAGAGATTAAAGACATCTTGATTGGGTTTGTTCTTTGACTTCAAAATAGCGATAATTGGGGCTGGAGAGATGGCTCAGAGGTTAAGAGCACTGACTACTCTTCCAGAGGACCCAGGTTCAATTCCCAGCACCCACATGGCAGCTCACAACTGTCTGTAACTCCAGTTCCAGGGGCTCCAACACCGTCACACAGGCAAAACACCAATACACATAAAAAAATAAAAATAAATAAAAAAATTAAAAATACAATACAAAACAAAAAAACAGCGATAATTTTATTCAGCCCTTCCCTTGTAAAATAGTCTTCCTGGGGAATGCTATGTTATCCAAGTACAGACCTGCCCAAGACTTCCTGCAGATCTTCTTGATTATCAGCCTTGCACTAGGTCTGTTTTGCTTTGACAGAAGTGGTTTGGAGCTGAGATGTCCTTGAAAGAAAATCTTGTTTCATCGCTCCAAAGCAGAGGTTCGGAGTGGCTCATAGGGTAGCCGAGACTGTTTCTGGTAATCCTAGAATCCACTTGCCTTTCAGATCTCGTGTTCTCACAAGTGGACAAGAAAGTATCAGAGGCGAAGTCTGTGTACCATCGCAACAGTATGAAAACAAAGCAAGCAGAATCCTGCTTTCTTCACTGGGCCAAACAGTAAAGAGATTTGTAAATATACAAACGGCTGTAGAGTGTTCAGGCTAGACGGCTGTCTCCAAGAATGTTATTTAAAAATACATGTGATGTACTTTACAATAAACCACTAGGTGGCTATTAAATTTCTGCAGCTTTAAATTTTTTTCTAGCACAGTACATTACAGTAATTGGAAAATAGTCAGGGTTCTTAATAATTTTCAAAAGACAAACAGAATCTGTGCCCTGGAGAGACACTCTCCCACATCTAGTAAAGAAAACAACCTGTTCCCTGCCTCTGTTCCTTAGGGGATCACTGACTTCCTGTCTTGGAGAGAGAGGAGACGCATTCCTCTCAATAGTGGTTTTAGCTTATTTTTCTCTAATTGTCATGACAGCCTTTCCAAAGAAAGAGGGACATGTCTTACCTGGGTCAATAGTTCCCTCCAAGAGGAAGTGATCTGGAAGCTCTGAGACTTCTTTCCTCTTACTGACACTGGAGATGTAGAGGGTGGCAGCTCTGTCAGCAGCTGGAGCAGGCAGCCGGGAATACAGAGAGCATGGAGACCCAGAGAGCCTGCAGTCTGGGTGTGGATCCAGCAGCCGTCTGTGAGAAGAGGACTGAGACATGAGGAGGAATGAGGAAGGAGGTAGCCAAGGGAGGAGACTGCCCCTGGCACGCCTCAGACCCGCCTCAAATGGTGCCCGTCTCCAAGGCACGGAGAACTTGCAGCAAAATGCTAGAGAACACGGGCATTTCCTTTAATGTAAATGTCACTATTTGGTGAATCATCTCTTCTGTAAAAGCTGGTTTCTGGCCTTTCCCAGGCCCATGCCTCTTTCAGAAGGTTAGGAAAGCAACATAAGGAAATGACCCTGCTTGGTTAACTAGAGCATCCTTTCTCACACCGGCCTCTTGGTTCTGAGGCTCTTGTCACACTTGAGCATGAAATGCTTCCGTCTAACACACTGGAGTAATCTCTGTAATATAGAAATTATTGTATTTCTATATTATACCCCAAATACCTAAAATACCCCTAAAATATAATTTTTGGGGGGAAATAAATATTTTTGTATAGTATTTTTCCCCCCTTTTAAGACCTTATTTAGGATTTTTCCCTCCCAAGCTCAACATGGTGTCACATGACACTTGATAGGGGCTGTTCAGATTTACTTCTCAATGACCTGGAAACAGCACATTTTCATAATGCCTTTCCATTATCACATCAAATACCAGGCCAAATCTATATCATTAGAATCTTTCCTGTGTGTGCGGGCGCGTGGGTGTGTGGAAGTTGTACATTCATGTAGAGGCAGAAGCCAGCCTCTGGTGGTGTTGCTCAGAACTGTGCATATTGGTTTTTGAGACAGAGTCTCTCACTAAGACCTGGGGGTTGCCGGGCGGCGGCGATGGTGGTGGTGGTGGTGGTGGTGGTGGTGCACACCTTTAATCCCAGCACTCGGGAGGCAGAGCCAAGTGGATCTCTATGAATTTGAGGCCAGCCTGGTCTACAGAGTGAGATCCAGGACAGGCACCAAAACTACACAGAGAAACCCTGTCTCAAAACAAAATAAAACAAAAAAAGACCTGGGGGCAGGGGTTGTCACATGATTTGGCTAGCTAAGTGATGGGCTAGTGAGATCCAGGGAGCTGACTCTCTCACTCTCCTCACTGCTGGGATTACAAGTGTGTGCCATCATACTAATAGGCTTTTTAAAAAGTTTTTTTTTTTTCTGTGTAAATGTGTGTGTGCATATGGGGGATTTGTGTGCATGGTATACATATGGAGGTCAAAGGACAATTTGCAGGAGTGGGTTCTCTCCTTCCAGTATGCAGGCCCCAGGGATTGAACTTGGGCCTTTAGGCTTGGCAGTAGGTGCCTTTATGTTCTGAGCCATCTCACTGGCCCTATGTCAAGCTTTTGTTTGTTTGTTTGTTTGTTTTGTTTTGTTTTTTGAGACATGGTTTCTCTGTGTAGTTTTGGTGCCTGTCCTGGATGTCGCTCTGTAGACCAGGCTGGCCTCGAACTCACAGAGATCCACCTGGCTCTGCTTCCCGAGTGCTGGGATTAAAGGTGTGCACCACCACCACTGCCCAGCCAGGCATTATTTTTTTTAATGTGAGTTAGTTGGGGATTGAACACAGGTCCTCATGCTTGTGTGGCTAGAACTTTACTGGCTGAGTTGTCTCCTCTGTCCCAGCATTGGCCTTTTTTTTTTTTTTTTTTTTTTTTTTTTTATAAAAAACTTGAGTAAAAATAGACTAGAATCTGGACACAGTAGCACAGTGTCTAATCCCAGTGTACCTACAGGAAATTCAAAGTAGAGACAGGAGACTCCCCAGAAAGCTCCAGGGCCAGCTAGCCTGGGTGGCAAAGACAGCCCAGAACTGACATCAGAAGCCTGTCCTCTGACTGCCACATATATACTGTAGCATGCTAGTACTGCAGGCTCCTTCCCCCAACACAAACCCAAACCCAAACCATCTAGTCCTAGGATGGTGGCAGATTTTTGACCTAAAATATTTGAAATATGATTGAGGGAGATTATTTTTTAAGGTTTATCTTTAACTCATTGATACAGCTTTCGAATCAACTCATTGATATAGCCTTCTAAAATGTTACTTCTAAAGAAAAGGGTGTAAATATAGCCTTGAAAGAATAGTAGTATTTCGTAGGGACTTTTTACTTGGACACGAGCTAAATTGTTGCTTTGTTAGCAATGGAATTAGAAAGTGATTTTTTTCTTTCCAGTACAGAGATGGTAAGAGGGCTTCTAAAGTTAGGAAATAAAATGCTGTGTAAGCAGGTAGTTTTGACTTAAAAAAAAAACAGGGTAGAGTTTTAATTTCCTAAAGTCATGAAAACATCATGTCCATAGCCATGATTACAGAGGAAGTTTGTGGTGAGGTCTTTGAAGGGACTTGGTGTAATGGATTACCAGAAGACAAACTAACATTTTTAAAAACGAATGTGGTAAGAATACAAATGTGATTGAATTTAAATAGCAAGTTTTCATCCTCCAAGTGACACAAATGGCTGAATGTAGTAAGGTCACAGAGTGATCAGTGGGGTTAGCTCAACTGTAGAGCATTTGGCTAGCAAGAACATGGTGCTGGGTTCCATCTCCATACATGCACAACAAAGTGACCAGAAGCAGAGTGAGTGCCAGTGAGCTTCCTCCAGCTCTAAAAGATGTAGGATGAATGATATGTACATTTCTAAGTTTTGGGACTTTGATACAAAGTTATTTTTTTATATGATCTGGAGTAAGCTGTTTCTGTGTCCTATATATTTTATAGACTTGTTGACAGTCCTTGGTAGATTCTAAGGCACTGGTTAACCAGAACCCTCCACATCTTCTCATTACTCACACAATGAGGGTAACATTAAAACAAGAAAATAATATAATATGATTTTCTTTTAATCCGATGAAAACATTTATGTATTAGGAGAGAATCCTTTTTTTTTCTTTGAAATATTTTAGGAACCAAATCGATAATTATCTGCTTAGATATAATACAGTGTGAAGGCTGGGAGAGGAAATAGATCAACATCAACCAGACTTTTTCATTTAATGGACCTTTAAAAATAATGGTGCTGGAAAAAAAACTGTTCTAGTGATAGTAATATAGAATAGCTAAGACTGAAGCAGGAGAATTATAAATTCCAGTCTAGCCTGGACTTGTAAGTATGACTCTGTCTCAAAAACAAACAAAACCAAATAAATATTGAGTGGTGAATATTATATTTGCTAGAAATGCTTAAAAATTTAAATCCTTACATTTTTATTTCATTTCATGTTTATAAAAAATTTTAGAAAAGTCATAGTCTTTTTTTTTTTTCCAAGACAGGGTTTTTCTGCATAAACCCCAGCTGTACTGGAACTCACTCTGTAGACCAGGCTGTCCTCAAACTCACAGAGATCTGCCTGCCTCCCTAGTGCTGGAATTAAGGGTGTGCACTACCACCACCCATTTATAGTCTTTTAATAAAAGACAATCTTTAACTTTGTCTCATGTATTCCAGGCTAGCCTCAAAAGTAGCCAAGGATAGCCTTAAATTTCTGGTCCTCTAGCCTCTACCTTCCCAGTGCTAGAATTACATGTATGCATTGATTTATAGGTGCTGGAGAATGGACCCAAGGATAGGAAAGTGCTGTAAAATGAACATATACACTTTATAAAAAGTGTATTACATACTACAGATAGTAAAAATTTCAACACAGATAACACTCTTTCAAGCACCCCCACCTCTCATAGCAAGGAAGGAACGTTCTAGTTAGGCAAATGCTCCGTCTTGCTAGCCACTTCCCAGCCTTGATACTAACCAGTAAATTAACAAAAGGGAAAAAAACAAAAACAAAAGACTACGAGTTAAATAACAGCCTTCTAAAATTGTAAAATTATGTGCTCAGGGTTCATGGAGGCATGTCACTGACCTTTGTTTTATGAGGCAATATACTGTTTCTGCACCAGGTTAACTAACACCAGAAAGAGTTTAGGAAGTTTGTCTGTGAGACTGCAGGTCAAAGTCAGCCTGCAAAAGTACCCAATAAAGTGAAGTGTGTGAACCATGCGAATTACTAAGTGTACCTTTTGGACGCTACTGAGGTCAGCTACACTTACTGACATCTCCATGACATAGAGGGGCACTGATGGAGACTCTGGGCTTGAGGAACCGGTTGAGCCGCCTCCTGCCAGCACACCCTATGCCGCCAGCATGCCCAGCATGCCCTTTCCTGAGAGAGCAGGTGGGAAATAGTTAATGCTCATCCGCTGAGACTCCCGGCCCTGGCACAAGCCCGGCTGACCCTGGCAACGCCTCTCTCCTTCCTGGAGACCAGTTTCCAAGTTTACTCTTCCTTCTCCACAGGGTGGGAAGCGAGCTTTCTGTTTCTCGAAGGTTCCAAGGCGAGAGGGGAAAAGGCGGGAAATCAGCGGAAGCGTGGCTCCAAGTCGACAGAGCCAGCGGGGCGGTCACGTGACCGGCGCGCTGCCTGCCGGGAGCTGCGCCCCGGGCGCCTGCGCAGAGGAGCACGAAGCCTTGGCGCTCCCACGCTTCTGAGGAGGCAGGTCGTGGCCGAATCTCCCCTCGCGAGTGGGACAAGAGGGTGAGCGCGCGTGACGGGGACCTCGAAGGGGAAGGAAAGCAGCGAGTGGGGATGGGCGCGGCCTCTCCGGGGCCGGGGGCTGGCGTGGGGGCGCGAACCGGAAGGCGTGAGGGAGGTGAGGGAAAGAGGCGGGGAAATGGCGTGAGGAGGCACCGGCGCTGTGAAGGGAGCACGGCAGAAGGCGGGAGCGGCGGTGGTAGCACACACCTGTAGTCCCAGCACTGGGAGCACGGGGACAGGAGGATTGCTGCGAGTTTGAGTCCGGCCTCGGCTACCCGATGGGTTCCAGGCTAGCTTGGTTTATGTGGTGAGTCTCAGTCCCAGAAAATCTGAAACCAAACCATACTCCTCCCGCCGAAGGAAATCCTAGACTAACAACCACGAACAGTTGCACAAGGTGACACCTTGGGTGACGTAGCCCCAAGTCGCTATTTTCATAGGGGGAGGGCCCGCCTGTTAATCCAGACTTCAGCTATTTAGGAGTCTTAAATGATGACAGAAATCACTTTTACAAACACAGAATTACCTAATGTGTGTGTGTGTGTGTGTGTGTGTGTGTGTGTGTGTGTGTGTGTGTGTGTGTGTGTATGCAATCTGTTAGTTTGAGAAAGGAAAGAAGAAGCAGAAAAGGGAAAACTAAAAGGGGAAGAAGGGGGTTGGGGATTTAGCTCAGTGGTAGAGCGCTTGCCTAGCAAGCACAAGGCCCTGGGTTCGATCCTCAGCTCCAAAAAAAAAAAAAAAAAAAAGGAAAAAGGCTCTTAGCTTGTGTTGGTTTCGATTCTTTAGGAATGTCAGTGCATTTTCTGCATGTTACTATGCTAGCGCTTCAACTTAGTACCCTGATGGTAGGCACTCAGAAGTACATGCTGAAATTAGAAACATCTTTATAATTTGCTTTTTGCGCTTTTCCCCATCATATCATATACATATATGATATGATTCCCTATAATTATCTAACTCATGGTATTTAAAAGAAACAGAGCAGGTCATGTGGCCTTTAATCCCAGCACTCTGGAGGCAGAAGCAGGTAGATCTCTGAGTTCAAGGTCAGCCTGGTCTACAGAGAGAGTTCCAGGACAGCCAGGGCTGCACAGAGAAGCCCTGTCTCAAAAAGCAAACAAACAAAAAAAAGAGAAACAAATCGATTATTTGAATGTAAATAGTTCTTCAACTCTAAGATACAGAGACCATCCTTTTAAGTTTCATTGTCTTTTCAAGTTTAAACCTTAACAGTTCAGATTCTTAGGAAAATAGCTTCAGAATTTATGGGGAAGCAATTTGGTGCCATATTAAGGTATGGGTAGGGCAATGGAAACAACATCATACTAGAAGAATGAAGAGATCTTGTTTCTGGGATAGCCCAGTTTTATTTGTTTAAATGTGATCAACCATCTCTAGAGCTCACCTCACTCTGTCCTTCTTTCGAGAAGGAAGAAAGGGGAACTCCAAACTCTAGTTTTTAAAAAATTTATTCTTCTCTCATATATTACATTCCTACCTCAGTTTCTCCTCCCTCCACTCATCCAAGCCCCTCCCTCCTCCCTCCTCCCTCCCCTAGATCCACTCCTCCTCCATTTCCCTTCATAAAAGAGCAGGCCTCTTAGAGATCTCAACTGAGCATGGCATAACAAGCTACAATAAGACTGTGTACAAACCCTCATATCAAGGCTGGATGAGGCAACTCAGTAGGAGGAAGAGGGTCCCAAGAGCATCTAACCTCTTAATTTTAACATTAAAATTTTATAAAGACGGAAGACCCTTAAATGTTCTGGTGCTAAAACAAGATAGAATTGCCAGTGAGGTTAGTTGAGCTCGTTTTATATAGACGAGTAGTTGAAAATGGTATGAATAGTTAAGTTGGTCTCAGATGATGGAGGACCTTGGATGCTATGTGATAAAACTTGAGTTTACTGACCCAGAAGGTTTCTGAATGAAATGTTTTGAGAGGTAAGATGAAATAGAGACGGGAGAAATTAAATTTAGGTGGCAGATCAGGAGAGCAGAAATTAATGATGGTAGAAGTGGGAAAAGTGAAGAGAAGTGTAGTGTGGAGCTCATACCTAAATTGACAAACCTCTAAATTTTATAGTTTGTGCTTCCAGAGTATGATGGCAAACCACCTCGTAAAACCTGATTCTAGAAACTGCAAGAGGTCAAGAGAATTGGAGGTAAGCTTTATGCTCCTGGAGCCTTTTGTTGTATTTTACCCATTTCTGATTTCTTTTCTTCGAGAAAGTGCTATTGGTAAGTAGAATTTAGTGTTCTCATAGTCTCAGAGGTAGGATGGTCCTAGCAGGAACTAGGTTGACTCTACCTAGCTTTTCCATTAAGAACAGACCTATAAAAATCTACTTGGGGATTTCTTCTTGGTAGTTTATGGCCTTAAAAGTAACCAAAGTGGGCCGGGCGGTGGTGGCGCACGCCTTTAATCCCAGCACTCGGGAGGCAGAGCCAGGCGGATCTCTGTGAGTTCGAGGCCAGCCTGGGCTACCAAGTGAGTTCCAGGACAGGCGCAAAGCTACACAGAGAAACCCTGTCTCGAAAAACCAAAAAAAAAAAAAAAAAAAAAAAAAGTAACCAAAGTGAGTCCATGTCTTTTTGGTACATGGGAGTTTACATGCATAATTATTTGCTAAGATGAGTAAAATTCTTACATGCCGTAGGCAAGTCTGGAGATTGTACTTAGATCATCAGATTTCAGTGGTTAGGGCTTCCTTTTACTGCTGAGCCACCTCACCAGTCTCTATATTGCAAAATCTTGCAGCCATTTGTCTGTTGTCTAAAGTACAGTTACGTTATTATAAAAATATCCACTGGTGCAAGATAAAAGACTGGTTTTGGTTAAGAGTTAAAAGCCATTTTCAAAATCTCAAAACTGAACAAAATTTAGTATTTTGAGCAAGATGTTTCTTGTGTCTAAAGTTTTCCTTGATGATAAAAATTTTATAACTGGTATGGAATCTCTAGCGTGTCTTAGTTTTTTTTTTATTTTTTTTTTTATTTTTCAGTGCTTTCCTAGTCTAGTGTTTCCCACTGAAATAATCCCCAGGCCCAATCATAGAGTTTCATTTCTAATTCTGAAATACTGGGGATTGAACCTACAGCCTTAAGGATGTTAGGCAAACACTGTAGTACACTGAAAGATCTTACCATTGATCTGTTTTCTTTCTTTTCCTAGCCTCTGGTGTCAGATAGTTCACAGGTACCCTCTCTTGGAAAATCGGATTCTTCTTTCTCTGAATGTTCTGGACTCCTTTATAAAGAGGAAACCCTGGAGAAGGATTTGAGTGGTGATGTATAAATAATGATTATATTTATGTGATTGACTGTATCATGCAGAAGCTTTGTTAGATTTTACAACCTACTCAATTTTTTGAACAGATATGAGCAAGGAAATTAATCTGATGTTGTCTACATATGCAAAGCTTTTGAGGCAAGTAATTATGGCATTTTTCGAGTATTTTTGTTAGAAATTCTTTCCTTCTGAAAAATGAAGTAAAAATTTTAATTCCGTGGCTTAAAAATCTTACCTGGTAACTAGAAAATTGAAGTTACAATTTTGTCTCGATTCCTTATAATAGATGAGTTGATTATTTTAAGGGTGTAATCCCCAACTTGTCCAAACATCACTTTTCATATTTCTAGTGCTACTACCAGAATGGATGTATCTTGGTCTCTAGATGATAGTACCTTTAAAATTTTATTCAGCTATCTCTTTGAGAATAGTATTATTTGGTGAAATTAATGTTAATGGGGTTATATTAAAAGATAAATATTTTGAATATTTATATTTTATTAGTATATATTTCAAGGCTGAATTTAAGTATTGGCCTGAGAATTTGAAGTGTTACAAGGTGCTTTATAAGCTACTGGACAGTCACTGTATCTGAGTAATAGTTTGTTCAATTTTAATTTATAATTAAAGTGTATAAGATGCACTTTCTCTGTGTCAGGAGACCTTTTAAGTAGTCAAAAATATTTGCTAAACTGATTTAACTTTTTCTTGAATAATATTAGTAAATTAATTAAGTTCTGTCATGGGCAAAGCCATGAAATCGAAATAGTTAACAGATACAGTATAAAGAACTTGACAATGATGACATGTCTAGACTTTATAACTCATTTTAAGATCAAGCCTTTTTCCCTATTAGTGAGAGAGCAGCAGTAGATGCATCTTACATTGACGAGCTAGATGGACTCTTCAAAGAAGCCAATAGTATTGAAAACTTTCTGGAGCAAAAAAGAGAGTTCGTGAAGCAGAGGTTCACACTGATTACCAACACCCTGCACAAGTAAAGTGTCTATACCAACTGAAAGTCCATTCCTATTATTGCTGTAGTCTACTTGTTAAAGAAAATACATGTAGTGAACTGTAACTTTTTCTAATTTAAAGGAGGGGGTTAACATGAACAGTAATATGAAGTTTGTAATCGTTCTTTTGAGGGTCAACTATTTGGCACATTATATAAAAATGTAAATTAAAAATTATATATGTGTTCTTTTTTTCTCCTTTACTCTTAAATTGCTTAATCCTTCTTAAACTGTGAAAGAGGACTCTGTTAATTTGATTATGTCTAACAGTATTTGTTTAAATAGCAGCTAATTTTGGAGATAGTTTTAAATGTTTTTCTTGTTAGTATTATAAAAGAACATTAAACATTAAAAGTAATTTGTCCAGTTTTTCAACATATAATAAAATATAACTGTGCTACTGCTATTTAATATTACCATTTAATTATTTTTACTTTTAACCATTATATTTGACTAATAAAAATTTGGCTTAAAACATTTTAATGTGATAAAAGTAGTAAAATAAAAATTGAAAATTACTATAACCTGGCTATTTCTTTATTTTTCAAGTGTCATGCTCTATGGAACCCAGATGAATTCATGGTACATCTGCCTTAACCTTACTAGTATCAACACTAAGGTTATGTACCACCAAGTCTGGCTGTCCAAGCGGCTTTTTACTTATTAGCCACGTTGATTTGTGAAGTTGATAAATTATATTTAGAAGCCTTAGCTGTAGGGTGGATTAGATGGAAATTAGTAGTATGGAACTTAGGAGGTCATCTTAAACATGGCTTTGGCAGGCCCTTTCAATCCTATGATAATGTGAAATTGAATTTGGTCTAGAGGATCTCTTATCAGACCAAATAGTTCCTCTTTTGATACAAATAAAGTACTACTATGATTTTATTCAAAAAGAGCTATGTAATGTATAACTACATTAGTTGGATCAAAAAAAAATCTCAATCTCCACCTTCAATCATGTTGACAATTTGGTCTTCTGTATGTGTATTTTCCAATATAAGCAATTAGAAATTAGGTACATTTGCATAGGGCACTATAAGGAATTTGTATTCTTAAACTAGACAGAATCTTTGCTGCCTGTAAACTTTAAAATAAAATTTTATTTCATCAAGTTTCTTTTTTGTTTGTTTGAGTCAGGATCTATGTAATCCTGGCTGGCCTAGAACTCACTATGCAGACCAGTCTGCCTTGAACTCTAGCTGCCCCTGCCTCCAGAGTGTTGTAATTAAAAGAGAAAGGAAAGAAAGAAAAGGAATGGGGTGCTTATTCCTGTCTTGGTATTTTTGCTTCCTAGTAGTGTTTGCTACTTAGAGTCTCAAAGATACTTGTCAAAGTAATAAAATCATGTATGGTTATATATATTCACGGTGTCCTGTCTGTGCTTTATTGTGAGAGAATGCTTTTCATAAGATTAATGAATATAGAAGAAAAGGGATGAAATGAAAGGGAGAAGGGTGAGCTGTTGCCTATTGGTCTAAATTTGAACTTTATTCTGTGTTTGAATCATTCAGAAGGAGAGAAGTTGTGTAATGAACCCCTGAATCCAAGTTCCATGGACTTAGCTACAGGTAGGGCCAGACTCCAGAAAGGGATGGCCAAGAAGGGAGGCTATCATTGGTCCGATTTTAATGTCGAAACAAAGATTATTTATAGTTGGTTAGGATACTTGCCATGGAACTGAGACTAAGTTGACCAGTGTTTTGAGGCCCCACCCCTTGCCTTCCTTCCCCTCAGTCCCATTTTGTCACAGAGCCAGAGACAACTCACACTCATTATTTACTTAATAAGGCCGGTGGCTTTGGATTTGGAGATCTTGAGACCTGCCAGCTGCCCCTGAACTGAGTTAAAGTTTTCTCCAATCTCTCTCCGTTCCCTCAGCAGCCTTCCTGCTACTGAAGTGGGCGTTCTTTCTGTGGCAGTACACCAGCTCCCAGGTAGGGAATTCCCCCAACCCCTTCCTTTCCTGGTCCCCTTCTTACCAGTTTGCAAGTGGACTGCTGGGCCTGGGTCTGAAGATTGTGGCAGGCTTCTGAAGTTTTCCCCTCTGTGTGATGCAAGCCGCAACTCCAGAGGGAGAAGTGAAAGAAGGCTGACAGAATTGGTTTACTCATTGGAAAGGAAGCAGCCATTGTGCTCACTCAGTTAATGCAACACATGGGCAGGATTAGGTCCAGAGATTTTTCTTGGATGCCTCATTGGAAGGGGTTTTCTCTATTCTGACTTTTCACAACTGAAAACCACTGCTTTGTATTCTGTTGTAAATGTTTGGTTCTCCTATTTGCATCCTCGGAACTGGTTTCAAACCCTGTGGGTTTTCTGTTGTAGCTCTCTATTATATTTTCAGTAATTAGTTGATGCAGAACTGCCAGAAGCTGCAGTGATATACACAGTAAATTATAAAGCTATCTAATCACTTAGTGCTTGCCATGTGTAAGGTAGTGTGTTAGGTGCTAGGACAGGGGAGATGTAAGCTAGACTTTGTATTCCAGGAGTACTGCTAGGAGAGGTTGTAAAAGTATCCTTATCTCTATCACACAACACAGCAAGATAAGGAGCACAGGGAAGCTGTCAACAGCTGCAGGGAGGAAATGGGGGTGTGGTGCTTAGGAAGCAGGTGACCCAGAAACTGGAGCTTAAAGGTTAAGTTGCATATGCAAATTTCATGTAAAGGAGATGGGAGATAGCCTGGGTGAAGAGAATAGAATGCTCAGGAGATTGGGGGAGTAGTCTAGTTAGGCTGGAGTCAACAGCTAGGTTGGGCTGAGACCATACAAGGCTTTCAAGTGCCTGGTCAGGTAGTTTGAATAATGACAGGTGATTGGTGAGTCATGGGGGAATAAACGATGCAGCCAGATTTGTATGTAGGAAATTGGATTTAGTAGTAGTGCGTCTCTGCCTTTTTCATATCATTGCTCTGGTGGAAGCCGTCTTCCCTGCTCATCCAGATAAATTAGAATCTGTAGTCCTGATGAGCTATTTAGAGCTGGAGGCAATTGGCCTGAGGTCTCCAACCCTTAAGATGGCCAAGGGGTTCAAGCAACTCACTAGAGTAGGAAGCTGTGGTGTGTAGAAGGAGCTTCATTCCTTACTGAGTTTCTCTTCCCAGCTTCTGCAGCTGGGAGGCTGTTGATCTGTTAAGAATCAAGGGCCTGAGCTGGGCAGTAGGAAGGAAGTGATGCATAGGAAGGAAAAATCCAGGCGTCGGTGCTTAGGAAGATGCGCTTAGGTTAGGAAACAACGTGTAGTCCCAGGGAGGAGAGACTTGTGAAAAGGAAGTTACCCGTGCAGAACTTTGAGTCTGGGAAATATATACACAAGCCACGAAAGTCTTTTTCAGAGATTTCCTACGGGCCCTGTGCCACTGTGGTCAGAAGAACTGTGTTGTAAGGGCAGGGAACAAGATGAGTTCAGCGCCCACAGAGAGACTGAAGTGAGGTGTTTTAGCTGGTGGAAGAACTGATTCAGAAGAGAAGGTGAAGAGCTGAGATCCACGTCTGAGACATAACTGGAGAATTTAAGAGCCAAGATGAGATTACTAGAGGAAAATGCTGAAATTGAAGAGTAAAGGTCCAAGGTTATACCTTGACATTTATGTGGTGATAAGAGGGAAAGGATCGGTAAAGGAGATTAACATTTGCAAAGTATCATTATATTTCATTATGATGGTAGATATAAGCAGGAATCATTAACCTCTCTTAATCCTTTTTTTATCTTGGAAAAACTTGAGGTTGGATGGGGTTAAGATTTTTGCCTCAGGTTGCCAGCTGACAAAAAGCAGCATAGTTAGAGGGCAGCAAAGTTAAACCAGCAATTAAGTGGTCAAATAGCTTGTCTTCCAAGCCAAGAACAGAAACAGGTGAGGAGATGGTAGCAGCCATGTCAAATACCACAATAAGTTTGGAGAGTACAAGATTGCCAATACCATGGAGTATAGAGCATGCAGATATCTAAATACAATCTAAAATGAAGGGGCCAGAGAGATGGCTCAGTGGTTCAGAGCACTGGCTACTGTTCCAGATGATCTGGGTTCGATTCCCAGCATACACAAGGTGGCTCAACCATCCTTCACTCCAGTTCCAGGCAATCCAGTACTCACTTCTGACCTCTGAAGGCACCAGGCGTGCATATGGTGCAAAGACATAAAAACGTGAAATAATTACAATTTATGTGTATCTAATTGGGCTATTCAGTTTAACTCTACCTAAAATAGTTAATAATATGCTTTTATTGGGGAATTTTAATCAGAGGAGAATAAGATAAATTTGCCACTGTTTACAAAAGTAGAGTAAGAAAAAAAAATCAAGATTTCTCTTTGCTTTTTTTCAAAGCATTTTCTTAATACCTCTAAATACTATATATCATTCCCACCTTGTTGTATACCAGCTTGCTTCACCACAGAGACTATGTATTATTATGTATGGAGTGGAGTCCAGGAATTTGGAATTTAGCTCCTGTACCAGAGTAACAGGGTTGTATTTTTTGTTGCAGTCTTCAGATAGGACAGAGGCACAATACAGGAGTGACTCATCTCACCCCCTAGGCAACAGGTTCCTCTTTTTGGGTTTGGAGACTTTTCAGTCTTTTAGCAATGTCCAGCTCTTTGTTGAAAAACTAAAATATTTCAAAGAAAAAAAAGCTGTAGTGCATCTTATTGTATTGATCATTAAAAGTTAAATAAATAAAACTAAACATTTTGGGGATATGTATTGTATTCTAAAGCTTCCCATAAACTTACATGGTCACTCACTACCTTAAGCATGATAAGAATTTTTTGTTGTTGTTGTTGTTTTTGTTTTTTTGAGACAAGGTTTCTCTGTGAAACAGTCCTGGCTGTCCTGGAACTCATTCTGTAAACCAGGCTGGCCTCGAACTCACAGAGATCCTCCTGCCTCTGCCTCCTGAGTGCTGGGATTAAAGGCGTGCACCACTTCTGCCTGGCTTTTTTTTTTTAATTTTTAATTATTTTATTTTATGTGCATTGGTATTTTGCCTGCATGTGTTTCTATGTGAGAGTGTTGGATCACATGGGACTGGAGTTACAGAAGTGAGCTGCCATATGGGTGCTAGGAATTGAACCCGGGGCCTCTGGAAAAGCCACCTGTGCTCTTAACCGTTAAACCATCTCACCAGCCCACATAAGAATTTTTATCTCCTGTCTTAGAAAAGAAGAAAAAGCACTGAGAGGTTAAAAACTTTCTTTGGAAGTGACTTAAGAGTTGATCCTGGGCACTTTGGCTATGTATGCTCTCTAAAGGAAGTAACATTTGAGTTAGACCTTGAACAACAGGTAGAATCTTTACTTTTTCTGTTTTGTGAGTGTGTGTGTGTGTGTGTGTGTGTGTGTGTGTGTGTGTGTGTATGTGTGTGTGTGTGTGTGTGTGTGTGTGTGTGTGTGTGTGTGTGTTTGCATGGCTGTGCATGTGCACAGGCAGAGGCCGGAGGTTGATAGCAGGTGTCTTCTTCAGTTTCTTTCCACCTTTTTGAGATGGGATCTCTCTCTGACCCTGCAGCTGATAACTAACTGGGCTAGACGGGCTGGCCAGCCAAGCGTCATAGACTCTCCCACTGTCCCAGTGCAAGGATAACAAGGCTTGTTGCCACACCCAGTGTTATTGTTGTTCTTTATGTGGGTGTTGGAATTGAACTCATGTTCTATGCTTGCACAGTAAGCAATTTACTGACTGAGCTACTGTAGCTAGAGTTTTCCTGCCTGGCCCACAGTCAGGACAAATCTCTCTCACCTGCCAGTCCCACAGCCGCTCAGACCCAACCAAGTAAACACAGAGACTTATATTGTTTAAACTGTTTGGCCGTGACAGGCTTCTAGCTATCTAGTTCTTACATCTTAAATTAATCCATTTCCATAAATCTATACCTTGCCACGTGATTTGTGGCTTACCGGCATCTTCACATGCTGCTTGTCCTGGCGGCAGCTGGCAGTGACTCCTTCCACCTTCCTGTTCTTTCTTTTCTCCTCTCTATTAGTCCCGCCTATACTTCCTGCCTAGCCACTGGCCAATCAGTGTTTTATTTATTGACCAATCAGAGCAATTTGACATACAGACCATCCCACAGCAAGCTACCTTCCGGTCCTCCCACTTCCCCCTGCTCTCCTCTCGCCCTTCTGAGACGGTATCTTACTTCATAGCCCAGGCTGCCTCATATGCTCCTTTGTGTGCTAGGATTACAGTTGTGTGCCACCACAACTGCCAGATGTTCTCCTTGTTTTCTTTTTCAGTATTGGAATCCAACACGGGGCCTTGTAGATGTTGGGGAAGAAGCACTTTACCACTGACATACATCCTCAGCTATAATCTTCTTAGGGAGAGGCTTTGAGAAGGGCATCCCAGGTGAAATGAATGCTATTTGGGAAAACAAGAAAGAGCTGGGCCTGACTGAGTTGTTATATTTAGGAAAGTAAAAGGTCATATGTACTTCAAACTTAGTATTTCAAAGAAATTGGACAGTATAAAATAAATTGCCAAAAGAACATAGATCTCTGGTCTTTGGATGTTTATCTGTTATTTTTTTCTAGTCTAACTCCTGTACCTCTGCAAAC